GCCAAAGAAACAGAATAAAGCTAAAGTACCTTCACAAGCTACTAAAGTAATCACAGTTATGTACATATAACTGAGTAAAAATACAAACAAATGAGTAGGTAAAAAAATTACTGACTTGTAAGTAGTAGTGAAGTGAAAACTTTATATTAGTTATTTAAAAAATATTCAATTTTTACTAAAGAACTATCAACTACAGCCAACAAAATTGAAAAATGCATAAAAGGAAGTTTAAAGCAAATAAAATAAGATATTATCTAGAAACTCCTAACCATGTACGATTTTATCAAAAAATTTAGAAGAATTTTTAATACAGATAGTTCGTTTATAAACAGAATTCGAAAATAAAGAGTTGTACATTTCGTAGTCTTGATTTATAAGAACTGTCGTTCAAAGCATCCTATGTTTCATATATTCAAGACATCACCCATTGAATGTATTAAAATTGTAAAAACTTACTAAAGAAAATGAAATCGACGTTTTACACCAAATTTTCTTCAGTGATGTACTTCATTTCTTTCTCAATGGACTTGTCAAACAAACAATATTGACACATCTAGAACAATCACATCTATAGGTTTTCATGTCGTAGAATTTGGACTGCAGGTTCGATAAACCGACCCTTTTTGCATATACGTTCACGTCGTGTTTTGACTTTCTAGCGCGAAGAATATCCCAATCGGGTGAATTTTCCTTTTGGTAATGGTAAAATCACGTGAATTTTCACCCCTAGATTGTTTGTGAATGGGATTTATGTGAAGAATACTCAAACTCGCGACGCTTTCAAAATATCATCCATCACACTATGGACTAGCTATTGTCAACTATTTGCCGACAAGCTATCGATAATCACATCAAAAGATCCCAGTACTGTAAGATGTCCCATGAAAGACATTTCAAATATGTTGTACTTCTTATTATATGGGAAGATCCAATCAAAATATTTCATATTGATCGAAATCTTAATTGAGGGAGAGAGAAATTAATTGTATTTATCTTTAATATTAATATCCAAAAAAGGTTACCCCGTATATGCAAAATGAATTGTTGAAGCAGATAAAGTAGCACTTATTAGACTTGGTATTATGAACCGTTGGAAAATGCGAAATCATAACTTGACCATATAAAGTCAAGATATGAATTTAAATAATATCACACTCGATGCATAATTGCAATCAAACTATTCAGTGTAACACTCTAGCTATCTCAGGTAACTTCAGCAGGTATCTTAGAAAAATTATGTGTAGGGTTACTGATTTATTTCGGGATTAAATTTATTTGATCAATTAGTATTGAAATTGATACGTGTCATATTTTAAAAATATCACTTAATAATTTTGATTTATAATGTTGAAAATATTTTTCATTTGTTTTCTATGTACATTAATACATAGACGGAAGAAAGCGGGTTTCTAACCCAACAAAAATTCTTCTTTCTCTCATTTACTAGCAACAATATAATTTCAGTAATTTGTAAATATTTCATAGGATTTCTTTTTTATATATTCTGGAATTCTTTTCCAAACTTTTTTGTACTTGTTTAGTCTTTCCTATGTTCTGATCTTCTATTAGTCTATTTCTATGTTCTTATCTTCCGCAATCACACAGAATTTCTTATCTATTTTCTCTAGTACTTCTTTAGTCAACTCCAAAAAAACTCACTTTTAACTATTATTATTTAACTATTATTTTTATTTCATATAATATATTGCTTTCTTTTCCATTTTCCAATATAATTATACATCACTATTAGGTTTTTGGTTTTTAGAAGAACCTTAACACAAAAGTGGAATAGGAATATTTAATTGTTTAATTCACACTTTCTATGTATTTATTTCACTTTGAGCTCAAAAAAATAATTTAGCTTCTAAAAAATTAATAGAAAGTGGAAACCAACACTCCTTAATGCTTTCGGCTAAATCAGAAAATATTTATTCATTCCGCTAATTAAAGTGAGGAGCTTCCAGGCAGTAAGTCGGACCTGTAAAAACTTATTACTGTTTTTTTAACTAATAGAAAATCAAATAAAAATAAACAGCGAAGACATGTAAAGTGAAATGATTTTTACTACAGGAAAATTTATGAAATTTAATAAAGAGAAAAATGTAAAGAAATATTTTCTAAAAATTTGGTTGCAGTTTGCGGGAACATCAATACTCTTCATACATATATTCAATTCTATCAATTCTAAATCAGAAACTTATTGTAAAAGAGTACTTATGTTATGTAGAAAAGTAATTTGATATTTAATCAATTGAAAGAAATCTTAATTTTTTAAAGCTATATTAATACATCTTTGGGCTTCAACAAGACATTTAGCTCAAAAACAAGTTCATTTTTCACTACTTATTTCTGTTCACTGACTCTTAAGCGCAAGTATTCACTCATTTCAAAATCACTCATTCGCTTCCTATTCACAAATAAGAAATCTTAGTTCAAAAATTGGTTTCTTATATCTTTCTTTGGTATTTCCAAGTGTCGAACTCATTAAATATTATCTGATATTTTATAATCAGATAAAACATAGACAAATTTTCAAACACTCATGTTTTATCAATGCATTGATGTTTCCTAATTCATACCAATATAGTGTTTCCTAACACTACAAGAGGTGAGAAGACTAGAAAGACTTTTAGGTGGAGCATAGCATGAAACACGGTTCGAGACGTGTCTTTCGCTTGCACCACAAAGAGCATGACGAAATAATGTAACCTTTTCACATTTGTGTAAAGGGTATAGAAATCACAAAAGAGTATAAAAATTTGCCGAGTGAACTTTTGCATTTACTGCAATTAATTACAGGTGGGAAATTGCGGTACCGACATATGCATTCATAGCATTTTTAATGTGTATAATGCGGAAACAATGACTTGTGTAAAACACGTTCAAGTAGTGAAAGAAAGGTAGCTAGCTAGCGTACTAAACGTTAAAATGGACTCAACTGAGTTAAATGTAATAGTGCAACTAAATCGTTTCAGATACCTTCTATGAGATGCCACATTGCGGATATGGGACTATATTGAAGTGTTTGTGTGTCAGTTTCGTTAAATACTTGAAAATGTGGCACTCATTCTTATGTTACTTATTGAGTTTTTAACGCAAAGTAAGTGTGAAGTTTCTGCTCTAGGTAGTTGTATCAGGTTATGGATACGTGCCGCATGTTGCTAGTCATTTGCATTTTCTGCAGTTTTTGCGTTCATCTCCAATTCGCTGGATGCCGCGCTAACACATTAAAATGCAACGCATATTGTGTTGATACTCATTGTGTGGCTAATAAAAAAAAAACACATGTGACAGAAATGCTCTTATAATTAAGCACTAACATGAAAACTACATTTCGCTTGGAGTGTTTATTTTATATTTAATAGATATAAACGAGAAGAGTTGCACACTTTTTTGTTCTTGTATCCTATGTTATTTCTAAGCAAGAGTTACTTCTAAGTAAATATGGAACATTCAAAGAAACGTTGAGTCTATATGTACTGATTGCTACGTAAACGAAAAATTGTTGTATGGCAAAAAAGTTGAGGTCGCTTTCTATATAACAATAAAAAGCAATTACAAAGCTTCGCACTAATTCCAATAGTAGTCGTATCGTGATGTAGATGAACAATATCAGCTTTTTGATTCACCATTAGTAGTTAATAATTTCACTAAAGGATATTCGCACTTCATAACAGTTCGTTCTACCAAGACATTACCAATACCTGCACTCAACATTCAGATACAATTACAAAATAACACAGTTTTAAAAATAGTAGAACACATCTCCGCGAGTCCCAACAACAACAATGTGCTGGTAACATTTATTGGCATCGATGACTGAATGTCGACCGTTAGTACCTATGGAGTACTAACTAACGGCTTAAGCAATAATCCTCTTCAACTCAATCACAAGATTTATACATGCATATACACATATATAAATCATTTGAACCATATGGATATATATTTGCGCTTGACTATAAAAGACTCTAAATGACTATAAATGACTCAATGCATATAAGATTCGGATAATTGCATTAATATTATTTATATTAAATAAGAGAAAAATGTACATATACGCCTTACAAGATATTGCATCTAAAATTACAAGACTGCAAAAAATTCTTTGCTTTTCAGCTGTTGTTAGTTATTATATTATTATAGTTATATAAAACGCGTTATAAAAACCAAACATTGAGAACACGATAATGTTAACCCACATTAGGCTCTAGGCGCACCAAGAAAATGTAATGTAACAAGAAAATTTAAAATAATTTACTTTAAAATAAAAAATGTTCAAAGTGGGTAAACGTTAAGCAAAGTTAACGCAAAGATAAGAAAAAAATGTTGCAACGTCAGCGAGGAAGGTTGAACAGTTCGTTAAAGATTCTAGAAGCCACTTGAGGAGACAAACTTGTTAAAAGGAAACAACTACAAAAGCATAAAAATAATTAATTATACTGTGGTAAGTTTTCAAAAGTAGCAACGCACGTTCCTCTGGAGTAAAAAGTTTTCAACTGCAACTGCAACCGCAACTGCAACCATAAAGCAGAAGTTGAAATGGTAACCGCATTTGCGTGGCAGAAATTACAAACAGAAATATTGTAAAGCTAAGCATAAAACAGTAAGCGTAGGAGGCGTTTAAGGCAATATAAATGATAAGTTACAAAGTTCCAACTATAACATCCAGTTGTTCTTTTGCTCAAGTTGTTAACAGACTAAGAGACTTGAATATAGTACGTTATATTATATTATGTATACATAAATACACAGTTAATTCAATTTTAAAGAGTTAAAGAATTACAAAAATCATTTTCAAATATATATTTAAAATAAATGTTAAAGAAATCGAAAATAAAGTGTTGATACACTATATTAACAGCAAAAAGAAATAAGAAATAGTTCGTACACACACCTATTTGTATTCGCTAAACATCGAAATACATAGAATGTTATTTAGGTTTTCTGCATGAATTACCTCTGAATTCGTTTCAAAACACCAATGAATAAGTTGTGTTCAACAAAATTCTTGTGATTTATAAAGACTAATATACGCACTTACCAGCATAAATTGCTTCAATAATTATATCTTCCAATTGGCGCACGACAGTAATTTCCAATTCCTCCATTAATAAATCGTATTTTATGCATTTTCTCTTAACAGCCATCGACACAATAGTTAGCTGCTGTAATTTTTTCAACATCACTGGTGTTAGGTCTATATAATCTTCCTGTTTCTGTTTGTATTCTTTATAAGTGCCATAAGCAAACAATTCCAATGTTTTATAGTACTTAGCGTTTAAACCAGTTTTAAGCTGCAACATAAAAAAATTAGTTTTTACAAAACGCTTAACAACATATACGCACCTCTGCGACGTTTGGCATTCCTAAAAGTTCTGCAAATACATAAATCCCTGGTGCTTCTAAGACCTGCTTTACCAACTCCAAAATCGCCTGGCCATGGGCCGTCTTTGCCAACAAGCAGAATTGTTGTAATCGATTTTGCGCAGCTTCCACATTACTTGGCTGAACTTGCTCGTTATCAGACATTGTTTCATCTCTAGTCATTTTATTATGTATTATTATTACGATAGCAGTTTTAATGAAAAATATGTAATAAAATGTTTTTTGGAGCACCGGCAAGCAAACAAATAAATTTTACAAGCACTCAACAGCTGATTTTGAAATGTCAAATGCAGTGTACGTTCAGCACATGCACTTCAAAACCATGAGACAGAGCTGTTTGGGGTGAAAACTTTTTGATCAAAATGAATCAGCACTACATGTTAATATGATTCTTAAATAATATTTCTCAAGATATTAATGAATATGAAGAAATAATTTATACAAATATGACAGTTATTTTAAGAATCTCTTTTCGTATAGAATTTTCAACTTGTTTACACTTTAATGACCTTTAATGCCCAATTGCACAGTCATCTCAAGTTTCAAGATCAACTGAAATATGAATAAGTGAGCAAGGTTGATTACTTAAACAGGACTTATGTCAGTTATGAATTCTAAGTTCGGACTATGACATCAGCGCTAAGTGTTTAAACATTTACTTTAAGTGTTAAGCTGACAACGAAGTAGGAAACCCAAATGATTGGCATACCATCTTGTTAAATATACGTATTACGTAGACAAACAAATTTATTAATTTTTATGTTACTATTTTGTTGTGTAATAAATATATTCAATAAAGTTTTAAACAGCGATATCTCGAGCTATACAGATATTTAAAAAAGTTGTTTAGAATAACAAAATTTATTAAAATCCTTTCTAATTATAGTAATGCTAAAGCATCGAAAAAAAAATAATATAATAGTTGAAAAGTTATTAAGCTAAAATTAGATTTTTAAAGGGGAGGAATCTAAAAATATATATAAGTATCAACAAAAATGTGATTTGTGACTATTTAGGTAGATTAAACACTATTTTTTTACAGAATGTATCGATAAATAACTGTTAAAATATGAAAATAAAAATATATAACAATACTGTTTTGTATTCGGCTCTTATTAAAATATTACATCATTGTGTTCTCAAACATACGCGATGTCAAAATTAATTGATAATAGTACGTTCACACTGTCTCATTTAGGCAGTTGCTTATATATATTAATGATTGAACGTGCACATTATGAGCTCATTTATGCGACTGATAAAACTTTTATGAACTTCACATAACAATATATCACACAAAAAAAAATATATAATTGATATATTAAATCATACATATTCATATTATATATCAAACCGCAAAATAGTCGGTTTTAGCGGTCTTAAGTCTCACACTATGGCTTTTGATGCTTTACACCTACCGACAAGAAAGCGTGCATTTGCGCACTCTTTATTAATGCACTCAATCATTTGTAGGTAAATTTTTGGTTAAAAATACATGATTTTTGGATCACGTAAAGAGCTTTCATTCTTGTAAAATGTTCTCTACTAAGTTACTCTCTCTTGATTCGTTTTTCAACACATCTTCAGTAAATAAGTTTTCTAACACTTATCCTTCTGTTTTATTTTGTTCTTTTATTTTTTTATTTTATAAAGTTTATATTATTTTAGTGATATTATTTAAATTAGTTTGTTTTTCTTAAACAGTTTTAATCTTTCCTAAGTTTTATTTAAACTTTTTATTTGTGAAATAATTAGTGCAAAGAGCAACAAGTGGAAACACTATTGTGATGAGAAGCTGAATTATTAAGTGCACCTTTACTTCACGTTTATTTTGCAACTTATTTTTGTTACAATGAATCGTGATGACCAATTGTTTTGGTTTCACGGAAAAATATCTCGTGAAGAAGCAGAAACATTGTTGATGGAAGGTAAATTAAAACCGTATTGATGACTATTTCAATGTGTTACATATTTATATTATTTAAATAATTAAGAGGGCAAAGTGGATGGAGCATTCCTTGTTCGAGAAAGTAATACTGCAAGTGGTGATTTTGTGCTTAATGTTTTATATAAGGTGAGTATTTATTTACATATTTATCTATTGTTGACAGAAACTAATCACGATGATGATTTATTTTGTATGATAGGGTCAAGTTTGCCATTATCAAATTCGACGACATGGTGAAGACGCTTTTTTTTCAATTGATGACAAAGTCAAAATATTACATGGTCTCGATACCTTGGTCGAATTCTATAAGCAAGGATCAAATGGTATTGTCACTCGTCTAACAGTACGAGTTAAAAAAGATCTACCTCCAAACGATTCACGC